GGAAAGTAGAGCTATTTTCGCGTTTGGTTCAAAACTCGATTTAACGGGTAGAAGATCTTCTTTTAACCATTGAAGGAACAACATTGAATTATAATTGCAACATGGCTAAACAAACTGCTATGATATATCTATAGTTGAAAAAAAGAATTGGGACTTTTGAGCGAATATTATTTTTTTTAGAGCGCCGGCAATACGTACTATTTTTCCAGTTTCGGCAGGCATGAAACTTGTGTCAAGCGGACCGCACTTCAATCAATCCGAGAAAACTTTAATTGGAATTTTTAATGAAATAACACTCATTTTAGTGATTGACTAGGTAAGGGCTTTGAAATCCCAGCTTATGAGAAAAATCAAATTTTCGAAGTAAAATCAGTGGTCGGTCCTTACAGAGACAGCCTCTTAACAGCTACTGTTCAGCACAGCTGAAACTTGTCAGCACATGGTATTGTTTCATCTACTGCAAGGCTTTTAGCCAGGATTTGGAAGCTGGAAGTCCAAATTTTGCAATGGGGCCAAAGCCCCCCATTAACCTAGGGAAGCCTCTAAGATGCACTTTCCACAATTATTCTGGGCTGGTTTAACTTTCTTTCAATTAAGCTATAGAACTTTATCATTTGGCAAAACTTATTCCTTCCTAACCTTGACTTCCGGCCGAAACTCTAGTTGCTATTAATTGAAGTTGCATGTCCCAAATTTAAAAGAAATGGTGGTTATCGAGGCATTTCTAGTTGAACATTACTCAAACTGCATTATGGTCTATTCATGGGCGACTTTGTGAGTAAATGTTTTTGAACAGCTGCTTTGCCTGTGAAATCACATCACTCAATTTTCTTGAAATTTTGATTCATGCAAATTTCCTGACCTGTGGAAACCCTGTATGAAGTCTTTGATAGAAACAGGAACATCTTAAATTTAAGTCCTTAGAGTGGGAATGCTAAACAGAGAGAGATCAAGGTTATTCATATATAACTTGCATTTCGAGTGCTGAGAATACTTTTGAGCTATTAGCAGCCAAAGATGTAACACATACCCCTTGAGAGCTTTTTCACCAAAGAAGTCACCTTTTCCAAGAGTGCGAACAAACACAGGTTCAGCATGTACTGAGGGTCGCTGGGTGATATTAACCTATTCAGGAAAGCACTTTACTTAATAAACAGCAACCATTGCCAACTTTAGACACTTACATGCATGTTCAACATTAGTGGATAGGGGACAATCTCAACTAGATATCAAAACTACAGTACTGTGACTAAGCAATGCTAACTTATTTAGTACAAACTTACTTTTTTAAATTTGCATATAGCATGCCATAGTCTTATAATATGCTTTTCAAATTGTATTATTCTTAAATACACTTTTCTTATATTTTTACTGTAATCTTAACCTTACATTGTAAAGCACTCTTGAATATTTTATAATTTTAGCGCTGTATAAATCTGATCTCATTATCAACCCTCCAAGTTGCGACCATTTTAGTCGCCATGGCGACTAGAATTTTGGAGCTGGCGACTAAATTAGAACGCAAGTCGCCAGCTCGGCGACTAAAATTAACGTGACATATGCGTCAGGAGCTTGAGCGGACTATCATCCGGAGCGAAAAGAAAAACGTTCTGAGCATTAAGAATTCACTTTGCAAAGCTAGTTGTTGTGGGATTTT